ACCCAGTAGTTTTTGAGCAAGGTGTTGTTCAGTTTCCATGTGTTTGATTTTTTTTCCTTGCTTTTTGTATTGTTGATTTCTACTTTTATGGCTTTACGGTCAGAAAAGATGCTTTGTAATATTTTGATGCTTTGGATTTTGTTAAGGCTTGCTTTATGGCCTAATATGTAGTCTATTCTGGAGAATGTTCCATGTGTGTTGGAATAGAAAGTATACTTGTCTGCTGTTGGGTGAAGTGTTCGGCATATGTCTATGAGATCAAGTTGGTTGATTGTAGCATTTAGCTCTTCCGTGTCTTTGTGGAGCTTCTTTTTGGATGGTCTGTCCTTCACCGGAAGTGGTGTGTTGAAGTCTCCTCCTACTATTGTGGAGCTGTCTATCTGTCTTTTCAGTGCTGTTAGAGTTTGTTTTACGTATTTTGGAGCCCTGTCGTTGGGTGGGTAAATATTTATTATAGTTATGTCCTCCTGGTGTATTGACCCTTTAATGACTATATAGTGTCCTTCCTTATCCTTTGTGGTGGATTTTACTTTAAAGTCTATTTTGTCAGAGATTAATATTGCCACTCCTGCTCTTTTTTGAGTGTTGCTTGCTTGATATATTTTTTCCATCCTTTGAGTTTTAGTTTGTCTGTGTCTTTAAGTGTAAGATGTGTCTCTTGTAGGCAGCATATAAACGGATTGTGTTTTTTTATCTGATTTGCCACTCTCTGTTTCTTTTTTGGTGCATTTAGTCCGTTTACATTCAGCATGATTATTGATAGGTATGAGTGTAGTTCTGTCATTTTGATGTCTTTTTTTGTGTGTGTTGTTCACAGTTTCTTTGTTCCCATTAATTTTCTGTGCTGAGTCATTTTTCTTTATGTATTTTCTTTTCATCTTTTTCATTGTTATTGATTTTGTGTTTGCTGATTCTTTATATTTTTCTGGTTTTTTATTTTAATTTGTAGGATAGTTAGTTTCCTTTGTGGTTTCCTTAATATTTACCCCTATTTTCTAAGTTTATACCAGTGTTTTATTTCTTTATATCGCCTTGACTTCCTCTCCATATGCAAAATCTATGTCTACATTTTTTTAGTCCCTCTTTTTTGTTTTGATGTTGTCATCTTTTACATATTGACATCTGTTTCCATATTTTCAGTGTTTTAGCTTTGATTTACTTTTGTGACTTCCCTACCTGGGTTGATATCTGGTTGCTCTGTCCTGTGTTCTAGTCTTGGGTTGTCATCCAATGTTACTGATTTTCTAACCAGAGGACTGCCTTTAGTATTTCTTGTAATTTTGGTTTGGTTTTTGCAAATTCCCTAAACTTCTGTTTATCTGGAAATGCCCTAATTTTGCCATCATATCTGAGAGACAGTTTTGCTGGATATATAATTCTTGACTGGCAGTTTTTTTCCTTCAAGTCTTTATATATGTCATCCCATTGCCTTCTTGCCTGCATGGTTTCTGCTGAGTAGTCCAAGCTTATTCTTATTGACTCTCCTTTGTAGATGACTTTTCGTTTATCCCTAGCCGCTGTTAAAATTCTCTCTTTATCTTTCATTTTGGCAAGTTTGATTATAATATGTCTCGGTGACTTTCTTTTGGGATCTACCTTATGTGGGGTTCGATGAGCATCTTGGATAGGTATCTTGTCATTTTTCATGATGTCAGGGAAGTTTTCAGCCAACAAATCTTCAACAATTCTCTGTATTTTCTGTTATCCCCCCTGTTCTGGTACTCCAGTCACTCGTAGATTATTCTTCTTGATAGAGTCCCACGTAATTCTTAGGGTTTCTTCATTTTTTAAAATCTTTTTATGTCATTTTTCCTCAAGTAAGTTGGTGTCAAGTGGTTACCTTCAGTCTCACTAATTCTGACTTCCATTGCCTCAGTTCTGCTCCTATGACTTTTTGTTGAATTGTCTAATTCTGAAATTTTATTGTTAATCTTCTGGATTTCTGATTGCTGTCTCTCTATGGATTCTTGCAGCCTGTTAAATTTGTCATTATGCTCTTCTCTAATCTTTTAAGTTTCCTCTATTGCGTGTTCTACATTTTGCTTAATTTCCTTCCTAATTTCTTGAAGAGTTCTGTATATTAATCTTTTGTATTCTGCCTCCAGTAATTCCAAGAAGTTTTCCTCCTCTGGAAAATTTTTAGATTCTTTATTTTGGGAGCTTATGGAAGCCATCACGGATTGCCTGTTTATGTGATTTGATATTGACTGTTGTCTCTGAGCCATCAATAAGTTATTATATTTATTTGTTTTATGTTTGCTTATCGTGTCCTAGCTTCTTGTTTTTTTTGATATGCCCAGATGGGCTGCTTGTATGAGCTAGTTTGATTGTTGGCATCTTTGAAGCTCTAATGTCCTGTCACCAGGTGGTTAGATTTGTTACTAGGTATGTGAGCTCAGGAGTCCGCCTACTCCTCCTGTATGGATTCAGCTCAGGTGACCAGGTAGATAGCCACGAAATTGTGGTGTAGGCTCTCACTTACAGTCGTAGACAGGCATGGGCGATTGTTGTAGGCACAGGCATCTGGCTGCAGCAGGGGAACACACTCTGAGCAAGGCATGGGGCTGATGGACACCCCAAGTGTCCAGAAGGAAGGTGTGTCCCTGTTTCCTAGAGCATGTAGGTGGGTGGGTTTTGTAGCCGGACTATGAGCACCTAATGCTGTTGACTGTAAGGACTCGGGGGCACTTCTTATTCATGGGCCCCTATCACAGGTGGCTAGGTGGTGTGGGTGGAGCCACCATTCCTCAGGCCCCTAATATGGGTAGATGAAAGCCCTGCTTAAGGGTAGAGCAGTGTCAAATGCGAAGAACCTGCCACCTCACAGCTGAGACAGTTGAAGTTAGACTTCCAGTAAACCCTGTTGTTCTGCTGTAATGAAGGCCTACGCTGTTGAGATGGGCCCACACAAGTCTATGCAGGGGGAAAGGCACTCAAAGTCCATGGATCCCTTATGCCTGTGCCTAGGCAAAGGAGCTATGCCTACCCTGGGTTCCTGGCTTAGAGGAGCCAGCAGTTTATTTTTTCCCTTGTTTGTTAATTTGTTCACTCTCCAAGGCAGGGAGAATGGCTCCGGGCGTGTGACGGGTCTTACTTCCGGCCCAGGGGACTCAACAATTGCTGAAGCCAGTCCAGGACCCAGTGCAGAGCAGGGAGCGGGGAGGTAAATGGGAGAGAGGTTTTTCCCTAAGGGGAGTGTCTTTGATCTGCATGGTAAGCCATACACAAGTACTTATCTTTTGCCAATGAGGGCTACTTCTCACTGGTTCTGGGTGGTTGTGTAGAATCTCTGGTGCTGAATCTCTCCCAGTGCGGAGAATGTGCCTCCTGAGCATTGCCCCTTGCCTGTCTCACAGCTCCTCCACTAGCTGCTCATGTCTGAAGGGCTCAGGCTCTCACCAGGTCAGGTCTGGCAACTCCTCGCTGCTTCCCGAGCCGTCTCTCCCTCCCGCTGCCACTCATTCTGGTTCCTCAACTCTGCCTTTGATGTTTAAGGCTCCCAGATTGCCATATATAATCAATTCACTTGTTTTTTCAGGTCTTTGTTGTAAGAGGATCCACCAGCAGCATCTGACTACTCCGTCATCTCGGCCCCGCCTCTCATATTTTATTTCTATTGGACAGCACTAATCTAAAGCTTCCCTAAGCCCTCCCTGTTACCTTCTTGAGTGATTCATTATGGTCTGACCCCTTTCACCTATTCCTTCCCTTTCCAGTAACTGCTTAGATTTAGGAGGTAGAATAGAAACTTGAAGTCTGTGGCCAGTATTTAAATCAAGATAATTAAGTGCCCAAGTGGATAATAATGGTCTTAGTTCAATAGTCCATCTCATTGGATTGGTGCTCCAATACTAGAGGAAAGAATGTGAGGAGGTAGAATAAACCTTCATTAGTGTCTGTAGAGACGGACTGTGGATATGTGAAGGATTAAAGGAAGAATACAAGAATCATTCTGGGGAGGAAACTTTCTCTCTCTCTGTCACACACACTTACACACACACAAACACATGAGGAAACAGGAGAAAGGATGTATTCCATCTCCACTCCTCCCTATCTTTCTAGGTCTTTATTTTTCTTTTGCCTACACTAATACTAATTTGTCTCCCTTTTTCTATGTGTACCAATTTAAACTCTTCCCTTGATGTAATGCGGTTTTTGAAAAAAACAAAGAAAAACTACTGGGAGATTAAGGTGAGGAGTGGTGTAGCAGATCTAAAGATCAAACAACATAGAAAGATGATGTAGCATCTAAGTTGAAAAAGACCTTAGAGGTCACCCAGTTCCACCTCCCAACCAAATCCATAACCCTTTTATGTGAAATAAAGCTGCCTCTATTGTTTAAACATCAATAGTCATCTAACATACCAAATATAGACTGATAAGTATATATGGTTAATCCTCTGAAAATGTATTTTTTCAACAGGAAAAAAACACGAAGAAAAAACACAACGGCATTGTTTGTGAACCTAAAGAAGTCTTGAATCCCTCTCCCAAAGTATCCAATTGTTGCAAATCATTGCTGGTGAAATACAGTTTTCAGAAGGCATACATGCCCCAACTTGTCAGCTCCCAGACTGTTTCGGCCATGTCGAGGAACTCTGGTAAGTTATTTACATTAATCTAAGATAAATATTCTGTTTAGCATATATTTTTCTTGGGATTGAAGATTTAATATTAGGCATTCAATAGATTATCTTAAAATTAACTGTAAGAAGATAGTGTATCTGTTTGTCAAAGTTCTTAGGTGGTGCAAATCTAAAACTGATTTTACTTCATGGTGATAAATCCTTTAGTTTTTACTAATCCTGAATCATTTATTTGACAAATAATTAAAGTTATCTCAGATTTGCTAAATTAGATCAAAATAATCTCTTAATAAAAAATAGCCTTTAAGCTTGACCTGCCAATGTCTGCACTGTTAAGACAGGGAAAATTCAGATTAGGTTCCTCTTGATTTTGAAAATATAGGGAAGAACATGAAGGAAAGATAAACTTGAAACTGTTTTGCAAAAATATGTGATTTCTAAATGTCCCAGAATGTTAGAAAATTAAAGCCTTATGTTCTGAACAGCACTAAAGGGGAGTGTTTGCATTAAACTTATTACGTTTTAGGCTTTTAGTTTAATTAAAAATATGCTAGATGCTTGAGATTATTAAAATTAATCTCACATTAATCATCCAATTTTAAAAAAATTACACGCCACTGAGAAAGTGGAAATTTCAAGCATCCTGGTAGTCTCGTCACCACACTAGATATGGTATCCATCTTTTAGAAAGACTGCAATTGACTAAAATTTTGAATTTTCATCTGTGCAGGTATCAACAATTATTTCTCTAACATTCTATCAGCTGTGAACACGTTCTAGAACTTGTATTTTTTTAGATTTAAAAAATTAAGATCGAATTCACATACCATGAAGTTCACCCTTCTAAAGTGCACAGTTCAGTGGTTTTTAGTATACGGTATTCACAAAGTTGTGCAACCATCACCACTGTTTTTACAATTTGTATTTTATTGTAAACCTTTTCCAGTGTTTCACACTCACGATCTATATACCACTTCATCAGCATAGATTCCTTGTGGAGCTGATGGGTACCTTCCCAAGTGCCCTGTGGGCTTTGCCACATTTACCTAAAATGCTTTCCCTAATTACAGTTCACTTCAAGAGCCGAGGCGAAGTGAAGAGTTAATAAGGCTCCTACATTTGTATAGAGTAACAGCCCACAATCCAGTCTACGTGTTTTTCTTGCCTAGAACTCTCATTTTACGATGTATGTAAAATCCTATTATGACTAGTGTTTTAGTCTGGTGGGCCCCTAGTGTGCATTCAACGACCGCCAAACAATTCGAAACAAAACTAGTGATGGTAGCGGACACAAGCCTCCTATGTCCTTTACACAATCTTTCTGGCTCAGAAGACCTCGTTTGCCTTTTGATATTCACGCAGCAGTATGTTTCTCGCCTTATATTTGGCGGTGTCGCTGAAGCAACTGGGGATGTATAGGTTGAGAGGGGCGAGGTAAAAGGGTCACGAATTTGTGGTTAAAGCTCGGAGAACGCCCAAAACAGAGTACCGAAGGAACAAGGCTACGGATTCCGACGACTCCGCCTCCTTGCCTCCTAGCCTCTTGCTGTCGCCAGTGGGTGGGAGAAAGCCGCGCGCGCAGCACCCCTGGCCCGGGAGACCCGCCTCCGGCCGCCGCGCGCCCTGTGTGCTTCCCATTGGTCGCAGTCTGGCCACGTGACGCCTACCGTCAAAAGTGTCCGGCCGAGCGCGCCCTCTTCCCGCCAACAAGCCGGCCTGGGCGGAGGTTTCCGGCCTAGGTCCCGCAAGGTGTGGGAGGTTGCTCAGAGGACCCAAGGAAGGTTACTGGCGGGGACCCTTGAAACAAACAGACGCAGTCTCTAGTACTCCCCAAAGTAAAGCTCTTACTGAGGAAACCGATTAGGAGATCTTCCCTCAGTGGCTTTTGTTCGCGACTGTAGACACAGACTGAAAGTGGAAATCACAGGCCAGTCACTGGAAAATGACTCGCTGAAGCCAAGATTTATCTCTGTTACTTTGGGGATAATCTACACTCAAAAACATGACCCTTTGGGGGAAAAATACGTAATTGTTGCATGGGGAATTCAAAACTACTTTTTCTTAGAAAGGAAGCCCTGGTGGTACAGTGGTTAAGCACTCGGCTGCTAACAGAAAGGTCAGCTGTTCCAGCTGCTCTGTGGGAGAAAGATGTGGCAGTCGGCTCCCTTAAAGATCACAGCCTTGGAAACACTATGGGGCAGTTCTGCTCTGTCATATGGGGTCGCTATGAGTCGGAATCTACTCCATGGCAATGGGTTGGGTTTTCTTCTTAGAAAAGTGGCGGGGAGTGGGGTGTGGGAAGTCCACGGCAACCATCCTCATGCGTCATTTAAGCGAAGCTAGGAACTCTTGGGAAAACAAAGATGAGTAAGAGCAAAAGGAGGCTCTTCCCACCATTGCTCTGTGGGGGTGCAAGTGATTTGGCAAATGATAAAAATGTAATAATTACTGATAGTAAAGGGCAGAATATGTCGGTCTATCGGTCTATATACCTATCACACATAAATGGGATATACAGTATAACTAAAAGTCGATAGAAAGTCCGGTTGTTCAGCTTTCTCCCTTTGAGAGTGCTTGGATGCTCACTTATGCTTTTTTTTTTTCTTCTTCTTCCTTTAGCTTCTAAGCTGACCAGCACTCTTCTCTTCCTCTAGATGGACGGATTTTCTTTTTTGAGTCATTCAAAAAATACTAGGATCTACTATATTTCCATGCATTGTGTTAGGTACTGGGGTGACAATGATGGGCAAAACCAGGAACAGCCCCTTTCTTTGTGGAGTGTACAGTCTGGTAAAGGAGGCAGATAGTAAATCCCACATGAAAATGTTAAATATAATGTGGTAAGTGCTAAGAAGAGGTGCATATGCTGCTATAATTGGGATTTGATCTAGTTGGGGAGGTCAGAGAAGGCTGCCCACAAGATGTTACCCTGGACTGAGACCTGAAGAGGTTAATGGGGCTGGAGGTTAAGGAGGAGGGAGCAGCCTGTGCAACAGAGGGCTGGGAGTCTCTCCTCTTCCAGTAACTGCCCATCTCCACTGTGATGCATTAATTTCGCCTCTCAGTTCTCAGAAGACACTCCTTTTTCTCTCAATTCCACGTTTTTAGGGAATACCTTCCTGTAATCAACAGTTATTGTTATAGACAATGTATATCCATGTGTTTATGTACACATCTAACGTGCGTTATATCTTTTGTTTTATATAATAAAAGCCTGCAATGATTATAACAAAATATAGACTATGATGTATCCCAATAGAAATAAAAAAGCCATAGACATTGAAAGTGATGAGAGATCACGTTATCTTAGAAGACTCAAAAAAGGCATCTTAGAGAAAGCTTAAAAGTAAGATTTTGCCATATAGATAGTTTAGTTAGAGCATAAGGTTCAAGAAGAGGAGTAAGAAGGCTGGATGGATAAGTTGAGATATTTTCTAAGGGGCCTTGAAAATCAATCTAAAGAAACCAAATAGAAAAGCTTTATTTAATTTTTCTGGGATTTTCTGGGATACTTTTTTCTCCCCCCAACATTTATTTTGAAAATTTTAAAATTTACAGAAAAGTTGCAAGAATAAATCAATGGTTACTCATATATCCTTCACATGGATTCATCTGTTTATGTTTTTGAATTTTTTTTTTAACCTTTTACTACATTTCCTTTATCTTTTAAATACTATTTAACACATGGTCCAGTGGTGGTAGTCAAGACTTATATAGAGCTTATTGTGTACCACATACTTTATAACCAAAAACCAAAAAAAAAACCCTGTTGTCGTCGAGTCAATTCTGACCCGTAGCACCCCTACAGGACAGAGTAAAAGTGCCCTGTAGGGTTTCCAAAGAGTGGCTGGTAGATTCGAACTTCCAACCTTTTTTGGTTAGCAGCCAAGCTCTTACCCACTGTGCCACCAGGGCTCCTTTATAACATCGTTTAATATTTACAATAACTTTAAGGTCCCATTTAACAAATGGGGAAATTGAGGCACAGAGAAGTTAAGTTACTTGCCTAAATCAAAACCGAACCAATCCCACTGCCATCTAGTTGATTCTGATTCATAGTGGCCCAGTAGGATGGAGTAGAATTGTCCCATAGGGTTTCCAAGGCTGTAAATCTTTCTGGAAGCAGACTGTCATAGCCTTCTCCTGTGGAGTGGCTGGTGGGTTCAAACTACTAACCTTTTGTTTGACAGCCGAGCACTTAACCACTGCACCACCAGTGCTGAGGGATATGAAATTAGAAAGTAGCTGAGCCAGGGCTTGAACCCTTCTCTATGACAGGACAGGATAAATTTTTCTTTTTTAAGTATAAATTTAGGACCTGTCTTAGTTATCTAGTGCTGCTGTACCATAAATACCACAGGTGGAGGGCTTTAATGAACAAAATTTATTTTTTCACAGTTTAGGAGGCTAGAAGTCTGAATTCAAGGTGCCAGCTTCAGAGAAAGTCTTTCTTTCTCTGTCAGCTCTGGGGGAAGGTCCTTCTCATCAGTCTTCCCCTGGGTCTAGGAGTTTCTCAGCACAGGGACCCTCCAAAGGATGTGCTCTGCTCCCTTCTCTTTCCTTTTATCTCTTGTAAGATAAAAGGTGATTCAGGCCACACCCAGGGAAACTCCCCTTACGTGGTATCAGGGTTGTGACTTGAGTAAGGGTGTTGCATCCCACCCTAATCCTCTTTAACATAACCTAATCTTACCTCATTAACCACAGGTAGAGGTTAGGATTTACAACACATAGGACAGTTCCATCAGATCACAAAATGGAGGACACCCACACAATACTGGGAATCATGGCCTAGACAAGTTGACACATATTTTTGGAGGACACAGTTCAATCCATGACAGGACCCTTGCCAGCTGCAAAAAGAATGTACATCAAGGTCAAATAAATATTTTCAGCTCCTGTCATATAACTCTGGTCAGTTTTCTTTTTTGCCATTTCTGTTAGTGACTAATTTCAACCACTTGAGGATCCCCATTTCTCGGCACATAGCCTAGTCTTCTACTTCATGTAAAAAAGTGATGTTACAAGGGGTAAGCACCTGAATCTCCTTCCCCCTTGTTCCAGGTTTCCCTATATGAGCATCATATCTTAGCTCCTTCTGTCTCAAAGGAAGAGAGGACCCTCCTCCTGTTCAAAGCTAATCTTTCCGTATGTTTCATGCCCATTCTTCCTAAATCCTCTGGGATTTTGCCCCAATAATTTTCCCTCTCTATCTTCCATTCGCCATTACTCCTACTCTGATTCCTTCTCCTCAACCTACAAACTGGCTCAAGACTTCTAACTTAGAAAGAAAATTCTTTCAGTGAACCTCCTCCTCTAGCTACCTCCCATTCTCTTGCTTATTCAACAGGGTACTTCTTGGAAGAGCAGTGGTACTGGATTGAATAGTGTCCCCCAAAACTCATGTCTGCCACTATGCCTAACTGCCTTTCCAGAGCTCCCCTCTGGGTAGGGACTCAAATGGGTAGAGGAGCGCTCTGAGTGAGGGGGAGGGCTTTAAGGAGTTGCCTTCCTGTCCCTAAGCCTTTAATCCAAGGAACCAATATCCATACAAGAAGCTTCGACTTTCCCCATAAGGTTTATTCTTTTCCATTAGAAAAGAATCATCTGGGTTTTTTTTTTTTTGCCTGGAATGTGTGCTGGATGCACTGGGTTGGGGTGCAGAGGGTACCAAATGGTGCAGTTGATCCCCATCAGACCTCCAGTTATTGACAGCTCTCCCTCTGCCAGCCTCTGGGTCTCCGTGGGCTAGATGGGCTTCTGAGCCCCAGGAGCCCTTGTGGCACTTTCTCTGCTTGGTTCATTTGTCCGTACCTTGTCTGATCTGCTTTCTGCCTTCCAGAAACGTGTACAGATCTCTCATCTGCTGTTGACCCTGACTCCTATTCACTTCACTGGTGTGACTTTATTCATTTTTATACTTTCATTTTAGTGGGGTCTTGGGAGGGATTAGGAGTGATGAGGAGCCGATACTTGTGCTCAGTCTTGAACCAGAAACCTCTATACTCCTATTTTTAGTGAACAAAACCAGCGTTATAACCGGCAGTAGATAAGCACTTATAATTTTCAGAGCATGCTTGGTTAAAAGCTTTTCTAAACACAACTGAAAGACAACTGATCAGTTTCTCCTATAGAATTCTCAATGTACAACAACATTTTTTTAAAGATCCAACACGTTGAGGTTGATTATTTACTTTACAATGGAATTATTCTTGCAAAAAGATTAACCATGAGATTTTTCCAAATTCTCCACTACTCAGACTATGATTTTATTTTCAGAACTTTGTGTAGATATATACATATTCATACAACTTTTCAGTAACAGTTACTGCATAAAAAGAGCTATATATGCATACTTTTTCCTCTGGATATTAAAAATTAAATACTTGGAAAATACTTGGAGTTACACTTTTTTTATTTCATTCCTTTTAATGATCTTGTCACAGGACTCCTCGCTTGCCTCCAATATGTGATCACTTTAGGGTGTTGGTTTTATGCTTTTTCCTGTTGCCTTACAATATTTCTTACAATATGGTGGTATAGCTATTTAAGTGCATAAATGTCTGTAGGACAGGTACACAAACTCTCTTTAGCCAGCAAATAATGCCATTTGTAGGTTGACTACAGCAGAGCTCTCAATCTATTAATGCATTCAGCTTTCATGAGGAATGGGTAAGTGACCAGAACCAAAAACTCAACCGACTAGAGTTAGGATCTTAATTTTTAAATTTTACTCTCAGAGTCTCCCCTGAAGCCGATTTCTAACCAACACAATCTCCTACACAGTTTAATCTACATCGGACAGTTCTGGATAATGGCAATTGAGATTGATATTTATGATTATTTGTTTGGTTGCAGAGAAGAGAGACCTATTCCAGTCACCTCCAGAAAGATGTGGTTTCTGGTGAGGATGCTTATAAAAAGGAACTGAACTTGGCAGGTTCACCCTCTGAGGCAGTTCTGGGGGCTAGTCTTTTCTTTTTTTTTGGCATCTTGGTTTCTTTCTGAGTGTCTGATCAATTTTTCTCTATTAACTAGCGTCCCCTAACTCTCCTTTGAATGTTTTCTTCCCCTTCCTAATTGTGACTTGCAAATGGCTTTGACTGATCCTGGGCCCCATGCAATCCCGTAGCTATCATTAATGTACAATCCCTAGGCAAATTAACCACTCTAAACCACCTAAAAAACCCAAATCCACTGCCGTCGAGTCGATTCCGACTCATAGTGACACTATAGGTCAGAGAAGAACTGCCCCATAGGGTTTCTGAGGAGCAGCTGGTGGATTCGAACTGCCACCCTTTTGGTTAACAGCCTGAGCTCTTAACTACTGTGCCACCAGGGCTCCTAAACCACCTGAGGAGCTTTAAAAAAATACTGATGCTCTGACTCCAAGGATTTCGATTCAATTGGAATGGAGCAAGGCCTAAGCGTTGGGAGTTTTAAAAGCCTCCCCAAGGGATTCTAAGGCGGAGCCAAGTTTGAGAACCATTGCTCTAAACCACAGCTTGTTTCATGTGTAATATGAGGGTAATAACCTCATGGGATCATTGTGAGGGTGTAATAGATAAGGCATGCATGGCCTGGTATTTGGTATGTTAGTTATCATTAGGCCCTCCCAGGACTTTTGTTTGTTGTCGTTGTTAGGTGCCGTCAAGTCATTTCCGACTTACAGCAACCCCCCCCACGCACAACAGAACGAAACACGGCTCGGTCCTGCTCCATCCTCACAAGCGTTGTTATGCTTGAACCCATTGTTGCAGCCACTGTGTCACTCCATCTCACTGAGGGTTTTCCTCTTTTTCTCTGACCGTCTACTTTGCCAAGCATGATGTCCTTCTCCAGGGACTGGTCCCTCCTGATAACTTTACCCAAGTATGTGAGACGTAGGCTCACCATCCTTGCTTCTAAGGAGCAGACTTTTGTAGTGGCCTCTAAATGCATTCTCTGCCTTTAAGTCTTACCAGCCTTTACTCTGATGCCAGAGGGAAATAGCTAAAAAGCAAACCTAATCATGTCATTTTCTGCTTAAAACCCTTCAGAAGCTCCCCTGCTGCAGCAGGTAAAGTCCAAGCCTCACACTGTGCCTTCAGGATTTTGCTCTTGCCTACTCTTAGCTTTGTCTGCCATCACTACCTGCCTTTCAAATAGCACTACTTAGAGTTTATGGCATAAAATCTCACTGTCCATCGTCCCCTTGCCTTTGCTCATGTGATCCTTCTTGCTTGGAATGCCCTGTTTGCCACTCCCTCCCCAGTGCCCATCCCTCCCACCTCCCATCTGTCTCTTCTCCTGGATAATTCTTATTCATCCTTCATCCTTCCAGACTCAGTTCAGATATTATTTTCTTTGAAGCTCCTCTCCTGACTCCCCAAGGCAGGGGGCTAATCCCCTTCTCTGTGCAAACCTTGCCCTTACTAACATGTTGAATTGTAATTTGTGTCACTCCCCCAGTAGACTCTTTAAGGACAGGGCTTATTGTCTGGGTAAAAAGCCTGACAAATCAAAGATCTTCAATTTTTATTGAAATGAACTTGCTTCCTCTACAAAGCTATACTTACATTTACTTTAGCCCATATTTATTTCCTTCTCCTCTGTATTCCTAAAGCACTTGGGAATTGATTCATCATAACCAGTGGGTTGTAAGTAACTTAAGGACTTAAACCATGTCTTTATTCTTTAGAAGTTCCCCAAAGCACTCAGCATAGTAGTTAACTAATGTGTAGCTTAAAAACACTGGTTGCTGGAAGCAAATAAGGTTTGCTTCCATTCAAGGAGAGTAGGTAAACATATTAAATGGAAAAACCCATTTTAAAAAACCATAAAGATCTAGATCTGTGCTGTCCAATGCAATAACCACTACTCACATTTAGTTATTGAATTGAGTATTTGATATGTAGCTAGTATGATTGAGGAACTGAATTTTTAATTTAAATTTAAGTTTAAAAATTGATAGTCAATTCAATTGCTGTAAAACATTGAGAAATTGTGGTAAAATATATATAACAAAAAGTTTGTCATTTTAACCAATTTTAAGTGTATAATTCAGTGGCATTAATTATATGCACCATTTTGTGCTACCATCACCGCTATCTATTTCCAGAAGTTTTTCATCATCTCAAACAGAAACTCAGTACCCTGTAAGCAATAATGTTGGAAAACTTGTAATTATGTTTGGAATAACTTCGGTATGCCAATCTACTTCTTTAACTGTAAACTTCATGAAATCTAAATATAAATCCAGGTGTTCTAGTGAAAAGTTAGCATCTGAATTGAGATGTGCTATAAGTAAAATACACACTGGATTTCAAAGACTTAGGTATGATACAAGAATGTAAAACATCATTAATAATTTTTCATGTTTATTATATAATGATAATATGTTGGATATTTTGCATTAAATAAAATACATTACTAAAATTTTAATTTTCCTTTTTTTAGATGTGGTTACTTGAAAATTTAAAATTACATGTGTGACTTGAATTATATTTTTATTGGACAGAGCTGATCCATTCCAATGCAGGGCTTTTTGATGATGATTATAATGGTGGAATTTTATCCCTTTGATAGTCTAAGACAGCTTTTAGTAACTAGTGATAAGTGATTTTACAAATAGTTAAATAGGGTGATCTCTTTTGAACTCTTTTCTTACAATGCAGGTCACAATTTGCCGTCTCAACCCAAGGAGAACAGCATTGGCCAGAGCCATGACCAGGAGGAAATAATCTACAAGTTGGCCATGAAGCTGAAACACATTGGGGACAGCGTCAATCATAGGATGGTTCAAGAGGTAAGGCTTTCAGTTCCCCCAGCAAGGGCCTACTAGGTACGAGGAAAAAGCAAACAGAACAATGGCTGCCAAGTGGCTGGATGCCCAGGAATGATTGGAACACGCATGTCTGGATTACCAAATGTAAGACCTAAAAATTGTGAACCTGAGTCAAAGCCAGTATTTGATTCTTACACTTGCTTCTCAAACTGTGGTCTGTGAACCAGCGGCATTGGCATCACCTGGCATCCAGTTAGATGTACAAAATCTCAGGCCTCAGCCCACACCTTCTGAATGAGAACCTACCTTTTTACACATTCCTCAAGGGATCATTTGCATACTTTGTTCCACACCATCAAACTAGGATGCTCATTTGAATAACCTGTGGAGTTTTTAAAACTCCTGATGCCAGGACCCCATCCCTAGAGATTCTGATTTAATTGGTATGAGGTGTGGTCTGAGTATCAGGCATTTTAAAAGCTTACCAGGTGAATTTACTGTTCAGTCAGAGACGAGCACCTCTGCCTTAGATTGTGGTTATCATCCTTGATTCACACCCAAAGGTTATGATCTGAGTGAGCCCTACCCTCACCAATTTCTTAGTTTCTCCTAATTATTACAAGGAATAATAAAGATAGGAAAGAATACTGATTACTGTTTGAAAAATATGTGTAGTACTACCTCTTGGGAGTGGTGAAATCCACATCCAACCTAGTTTTCCTGCAGAACCACCTGTAGTTGGCAGTGGAGATAATGATCTCATGGAGTTCTACGGTAGAAAGGGTGGCTGCATCTCACAGCCGCTACTTCTTGCCCTTAAATTCACCTGTTCTTGTCAATTTCTTGTCAATCACTGTTGCCTTCACTATGCTATGCTGGCTTTGGGGAGTGCCATGCCTTCTTTTATGCTCTATTCAGAATGTGGCTAATACACAGCCTTTCCCTCAAATAAAATATCCCCTGAAACAGCACATGTGTGGAAAGTTTCAACAAGAATGCTACTAAAAGCAAGAAGGAAACCAAGAGGAATATTTGATATACCAATTTCATTCAAACGAACATTTATTGAGTGTCTACTTTGTGCCAGACTCAATTCTAGGCATTGGTAGTGGGAGCAGAGAACAGGACAGAAGATGAGCCTGCTCTCATGGGACTCATAATGTAGTGAGGAGACAGACAAGCAACCAATAAACAGGATAGTCAGGGAGGGATGCGGGCTCAATGAAGATTAAAGCAGGATTTAGGGAATATTGAGTGATGGGAGTGACTTTAGGGGGGCGGTCAGGAAGGCCTCTCTGGGGAGGTGATTTTTGAGCAAAGATTGGAAGTGTAGGGGTGAGCCATGGGAATATCTGGGCAGGGGCTGGGGTTCAAGGCAGAGGTAACAGCTAGTAAAAGCCCTTGTGACAGGAACACGCTTAAGGAATGGCAAGGAGGCCAGAATGACTAGAGTAGAGGGTGTGAGGGGGAGAGTGAGAGGTGAGGTCTGGGATGCAGCCTCAGTCTTAGAGGCCATGGTAAGGCATTTGGGTTTTATCCTAAGTGTAAAGGAAGCCTCTGGAAAGAGACAGCAGGAGAGTGCCAAGAGCTGATTTACATTTTGAATGGAGACTGGTTGCTGTGCAGAGAGTCAGCTGCATACAGGGGCAAGAGGGGCAGCAGGGACGCCAGCTAGGGGGTCTCGGAAAGTAGTCCAGAGGAGACCCATGGAGGCTGGGACCAGCGTGTAGCAGTGGAGGTGGTGAGAAATGATCAAACTCAAGATAAATTTTGAAAGTAGAGCCTACATGATTGGCTGATGGATTAGATGTGGAGAGTGAGGAAAAGGGGTCATTGGATGACTCCGTTGTTTTTGGCATGAGCATCCAAATGGATGGTAGCACCATTTACTGAGATGGGGGGAACCAGGGGAGACAGATTTGAGGGTAACTACAAAGTTCTGTTTGTGACATGTAAGTTTGAAATTTCTAGTAGACATACCAATTGAGAAGTTGCGAAGCTGTGTATTAGTTATCCGGACCAGCCTAGAGTTCAGAGATGTTGAGGCTTGAGATAAGAATTTGGATTATAAAGTATTGCTTTCTTGGTAAACTCCCAGGATCTATCATTGTTCTAGCTCCCAGCCTAACTGCATTTGGAGGATATACTAAGGCTATGTCCTGCACTTACTGAAGTTTTGCTAAGGGCCATACTGAGGGTTTCACTTGCATTGTTTTTATTTAATTCTTACAAACAATAAGGAGGTTGGGGTTATTATTATTCTCACCTTTCAAATGAGGAGATTGATGGTTAGAGAAGTCGTATAACTTGTCCTCATTTGCACAGCTAGTAATTTGAATATTTAGGACTTGAATCCATATCTGCTGTTTCCAAAAACCCATGCACCATTCCACCAAACTGCCTATTATTTGACCCTTGTCTCCCAGGAGCCACCTGTAGCCATCTGCTTTCTTTGACATCTGGACCCAAGAAGTCAAGAAGATCTACACTTATGCTTTCTTCTAAGAGTTCTCTAGTTTCAGCGCTAACGTTTAGGTCTTTGATTAATTTTGAGTTACTTTTTGTATACGATGTCAGGTAGGGTTCATTCTTTTGCATGTGGATATCTAGTTGTCCCTGCACTATTTGTTGAAAAGACTTTTCTTTCCCTTATTGAATTGTCTTGGCAACCTTGTTGAAAATCAATTGACTGAAAGTGTGAGGATTTATTTCTGGACTGTTTTCTATTCCATTGATCTATATGACTATCCTCATGCCTGCCCTAGCTTTTCCTGCCACATTTTACAGAGCTAACTTTGACCTAGACTTTTAAAGATATCTTATCTTATATCACAAAATTGTATTTTAGAACACCTTTAGATGGACCATAACAGGTTTTAAAAATAATAATTAAAAAAATTCCTCATAGGTTTGGCTCTAAAATACTGAAGGCTTTATTTACTCTGCTGCTTTGAGGCTTAAATCAAGCATGGTACATTTCTTTCAAATATAGTCATTTATTCATCTTTTGTACTCTGTTCAATCAAGTGGTCACGTTGATTCTCCAGATGCCTTCCTGCCTTTGATGTATTGAAAGAAACTTTTATTCTTGCTCTTGGAATTCTCTAGCAAGGAGCTCACCAGTTATAATTTGTCTGCTGAATTTATTGTTTGCCTGTGAGCTGCCACATTTCTTGCTTTCTTGTTCTTTTCATTTAAGCAAGTGTTCCGTGTTTTCAAACAGGCCTTGATTCTCAAAATGACACCTTCTATTTTGCCATTTAGTCATGTGGGGCTTTGGTTCAAGCACCTGGTCTTTTTTGTCCGGGGCATGCATTTTTCCTAGATATAAAGTATGTTTTAAAATAACTGGGCTTCCCATAGCTTTTAGGATCTTAAATGGTGCCTTTGCAATTTTTCTCCACAGGACTCTCTTTCTGGGTTCTGGAAACTGTTCCTTCTCTGTCACTTCTGGCCTAGGAGTGGTGACAATTGCTGTTACCAGCCCTGGGTACTGCACCGTCCCCTGTGGTTGCGCCACACATTGCCCCACACCGTGGTAGATTATTGTTGTTGTGTGCGGTTGAGTTGATTCTGACTCACAGCAACCCCATATGATAGAGCGGAACTACCCCATAGGGTTTCCTAGGCTGTAATCTTTGCAGGAGCAGATTGCCAGGTATTTTCTCCCATGGAGCTGCTGGTGGGTACAAACCACCAACCTTTTGGTTACCAGCCGAACGCTTAACCATTATGCTTTGGGAAGGAAAACTAACATTTATTAAACAACTTCTTTCAGGTACTCTTTGAGGCCTTCTTACATGTTTTATTTAATTTTACCAATAACTCTATGAATTACTTTCTATAGGTGTTTTCAGGAGGAGCAGTTAATTAAGGTTCAGAGAGATTAGGTAACCTAACTAAGGCCATTCAGCTCATAAGTGGTAAAACTAGAATTTAAATTCTAGTTAAGCATCTAACTCAATGTTCTGTACATTTTCTCGTCTCCTGTGCTGAAAGGCAATTAATTAATTTTGCCAAATAATATCAACTATAAAAGGGGGAAAAAAAAACCCTTTAATGATTCCCAGTTACTGAGAGGACAAAGTCTAAATTCCTTGGCCTGTAGCACAAGGCTCTTTCATTCATTCATTCAACTACTATTTATTGAGCATCTACTATGTGTCAAGCTCTGTTTAAGAACTGGGGATATGGTGGTGATCAAAACAGACAAAACCCCTGCTTTTATGGAATTTATATACTATAAGGGAGAGACGAACAAACAAAGTATATGGTTTATCAGATAGTGATAAATATTTTGGAGAAAAATAGAACAATGAAAGGTGGTGAGGAGTGTTGGGGAGTTTGCAATTTTAAGTAGGGAAGATTAGGGAAGGTCTCACTGAGAAGGTGACTTCTGAGCAAAAATTTGAAAGAGATAGGTGAGGGAGCCACATGGGTATCTGGGGGAAGAGCTTCCTCCAGAGGCAGGCAGATGGCAAGGACCATGAGGCAGGAGCTTGTCGGATATGTTCGAAGAATAGCAAAGAGGCCAATGTGGCTAAAGCCTGGTAAGGTGACAGGGGCGGACATTATGTAGGAGATTATATAAGCGAAGGAACACGTGAACTCTTCTGAATAAAAATAAGATGAAATGAGCCAGGGCATCTCTGCCTTCCTGTTGAAGAGCCTGTTTAACGAGAGAGAGAGGTTTAAAATAACCCAAAGTTAGAAACTCAACTTGGAGTCACCGTGGGGACTTTTCTTCTGAGTGAGGTGGACCCATTAGAGGGTTCTGAGCATAAGAGCCCATTTCAACAGTGGCACCAAGGCTGCTGCGTTGAGAATAGACTGCATGGAGCAGGCAGGGGCAGAAGCAGGGAGAACTATTTATTCTAATATAATCCTCGGCCTCCTTTCCTGATGTTCCCACACACAATGGCATTTACTTATCAGTACTAGTATCATTTGCCATCAAATGACCCCATGTGTGTCAGAGTAGAATGTGCTCCACAGGGTTGTCAATGACTGATTTTTTGGAAATAGATCACCAGTCCTTTCTTCCGAGGTTCCTCTGGGTGGACAGGAACCACCGACCTTCTGGTTAGCAGCTGAGTGTGTTAACTGTTTGCAGCATCCATGGACTCTAGTGTTTACTTATTGCTCCACAAACCTTCTGTGCTCTTTGGCATCTCCAACTTTGCTCATAGTCACCTCACCTTGTCACCCATCTAAGTTACTTGTTTTTCCAGTCCAGAAGCAAACTTGGTTTCTTTGAGAGGACTAGGAAAGTGCTCTAGGAAGCCAGAGAAAGGTTATCAGGCCAGAAAAGATTGCCCCAATTTGCTGATGATCAAAATAGGAAAATAGGTCAGACGGAAAACTTCCCAAGGTCAGTTGGACAGTGCGAACACTGTAGAACAGACCTAGATACACTTCTTCAGCTCATACGAGAGTAACCCAACATGCTTGTTTGCTGCGTTGATTCAATTAATATGTACTATTGTGTTGAATTTTTAACTTTGGGTTATTTTATTGTTTTGTTTTTTAAACCTCCCTCCCTCTCTGTCTTTCTTTTTACAACAGGATTTTCAACAGGAAGGCAGAGATGCCCTGGCTCATTTCGTCTTATTTTTCTTCAGAAGAGTTCATGTGTTGCTGCAATTTTTCTGGAATAATCATCTGATGTAAAAAGGAATGCAAATGTCAAGTTCTGTTTTTCTTCTTCCCTCTGAGAAACATGAATTCCATGGTGACAGATGGGAGGACGACCCTTCTCCGTCTCCCTCTCCCTTTACCCATCACTGTTGGTTTATGCCTGCGGACTCACTGGCTATTGGTCTCTTTGGAGCAGCCAGCTAGGAGATGTCTACAGTTGCCTCATGGTAGAGCCCAAGGGGTAATTAGGAACTCAGGTGTCCTTGTCGCCCAGAAAATACCAGCGCTGTGGATGGTCCCAGTGCTTCTTGTAAGGGAACTCATAATAATTTCTTTCCATAAGTGAAATAGGACCTTGTCCTCAAACCAGAGGTCACAGAAGTGAGTGCTCTGTCCTGTGCCTGTCCCTGAGTACCATGCCCACCCTGGGACCTGCTGGCTCCACTGACTTGTCCATGTCCAGATCTGCAGTGCCCTGGCTTCTCCTTCTCAGCCAATCCTCCCTCCCCACCCCAGCTCCGACTGTCTCTGAAAAATCAGAGGGAACTTCCTGTCCCTTATACTCAAATCCAACCTATTGCCCATCTGCATTCCCGGCTCTATGCTTGGAAGCCCTCCCACCACTTCCGGTTACCACCACCACCACCACTACCACCCCTGCTGGGTGTTTCCAAACACTTCTCAGGCTCCTCTTCCACAACATTTAAGTTCTTTCTCAGCTTTATTGCTCCTCTCACTCTCCTGTGACCCCCCTGGGTCTTCCTTAACCACTCCTGATGCCTTGGCACTGCCATTCAACCCTCGACGTGAGCATCTTTCACTGCTCTGTCGTCCTCCTCCAGCCTTGTCTGCTTAAAATTGTGAGGGGTTAGTCCTTGTAGAAGAAGCAAGACCAGAATGACTTACAAATTCATTACAAGGCAAAAACTTGTAACTGTTTTCCTATTGCTGTGTGGTTTCAGTATTATTGATGGGTGGGCCCTTTGCCAGTTGAATTTATTTTGCTTATTCTCTCCTGCCCTCTTTTATGTAGCTCTTTCCCCTTCGTTTTTCTCTTTTTACCTTTTTGTCTACCTCATATTCTCTCTCCCTCCCCTTTTAGAAGTATTACAAGTATTAAGAAAGTTGATTGTTATAAATTAAAAGTTCTAAATATGCATCTTGAGTTCTTTGTAAGATAGTTATTTTAAAAAACTAATAATTTAAAAAATAAACATTGTTATTTTATTGAGCATGAAACACTTGTGCATAGTTCTTTTGTGAAGGAGGATTCCACTTTTTCCTGCTCATAATTCTGTACACTTTGATCATATGTAGCATCATCTTTGTCCTTCCAAATGGGAATGTCTCTTTTCAGCCTGTCTCAGGCAATATCCATTTATTTCCTTCATTGCCTAGTTTATGGCTGACTGGCATGGAAGAAACCCGAAAACTTCCTTTTTTTAAATTTATTTTTTTATCTTTTGAATAGGTTCATGTCTTAGTTATCTAGTGCTGCTATAACAGAAATACCACAAATGAATGGCTTTAACAAAGGGAAATTTATTCTCTCACAGTCTAGGAGGCTAGAAGTCCAAATTCAGGGTGCTAGCTCCAGGAGAACATTTTCTCTCTCTCTCTGTTCTGGGGGAAGGTCCTTATCATCAATCTTCCCCTGTTCTAGGAGCTTCTCCATGAAGGAACCCTGGGTCCAAAGGATGCGCTCCCAGCACTGCTTTCTTGGTGGTTTGAGGTCCCCATGTCTCTCTGCTTACTTCTCTCCTTTATATCTCAAAAGAGATTGGCTCAAGACACAATCCCATCTTGTAGATTGAGTCCTGCCTCTTTAACATAGCTGCTGCTAAACCCATCTCATCAACATCGTAGAGATAGGATTTACAGCACATAGGAAAATCACATCAGATGACAAAATGGTGGACAATCACACAATACTGGGAATCATGGCCTAGCCAAACTGATACACATATTTTTCAGAGACACAATCCAATCCATGACAGTTCAAAATCAAAATAAGAAAAGTGTACAGTGAGAACTCTTGCTCTAATTTCCTACCTTGAATCCTAATTATGTTTAAGTTCTTACATATGCTTCCAGAGTTTCTTTATAAAAATGCAAGTTAAATATATATTCATATATATATAAGACATATATACCTACAATGTATATTTATAATATATACATTGATTACACAGAAGGTAACATGCAATACACATTGTTCTGTACCTTGATTTTTTTGTTTAGGATATTTTGCTTATTTAAATACTATTGTACTTACCATGATGGTCAGGCACTGTTCTAGGTGTTTTACAAATGTTAACTCATTTACTGTTATAACAGCCCCATGAGGTAGATATTATTATTATTAGCTCTATTTTACTGTTAAGAAACTGAGGCAGTAGTTAGTTGAGACAGGCAGTACAGAGGTTAAATAGCTTGGTCAAGAGCACACAGCTAGTAAGTGATGGAGTCAGGGTTCAAAGGCTGGGATTCAGGCAGGCTATACTCAGAGTCCAGGTTCTTAAGTGCTACACTGTACTGCTTCCCGGAGAGCTTGCCATGGTCCACAGAGAGCTTCATCATGCCTTTTACAGCTGCACTGTGTTCTGTCAAATGGACGTACCATCTTTTACTTCGTCCCATAAAAAGAACAACACCAAACCATTGCCGAGGAGTCAATTCCGATTCACAGCATTTATTTCATCAACCCCCTTTAAATGCCCACCCGGGTTGTTTCTAATCATTTGCTGTTATAAACGATGCTGAAATAAAGAACTAGGTACATTTGGGCTATGTAGGGGTATATTCATTGACTAAAATTCTGGTGCTGGTATTGCTGGGTCACAGGGTAAATGCATTTGTAACTTTGCTAGATCCCGCCATACTGCCCTTTGTGGCATTTGTACCACTTTACAGTCCCAGTGGAGGACCTATTCCCCACAGCCTCTCCAGCAGATTGTGTCACTGAACTTTTGAATTTTTGCCAAATTAATGGGTAAAAAATGATATTTCAGAGTAATTTCAGTTTGCACATCCTTTATAATGAATGAGTCTGAGCATCGTTGTCTATGTTCAGGGACATTTCCTTTTGCATGGACTGCCTACTCATATTCTTTGCTCATTTTTCTGTTGGGTTGCTGGCCTGGTTCTCATTGGTTTCTAGGAGCTCATTATTAATGCTGAAGCCTTCTTTATAACAGCACCTACACCCTCAGATTTTCAGCAAAAGGTTATTAAGGCTTTTCCCCTCCTTTTCTTTGGCGTGTGTGTTGGTTTGATTTTGTGCTTAAAACCTCTTTCAGCTTCCCCTCAAGGCGGGGAGAGTTGAGGCAGGTGGACAGCGGTGATGGGTAGGCTGGCACCATGCCTGGAGCAGCCAGAGGCCTGGGAAAAGATGCCAGTTTGGATCCAGTGAGTGCTAGGGCCCAGGTCAGGAGGAACACGACAGCAGCTCTGATGGTGGCGCACAGGCCCAGCGCGGAGGGCTTCCGCGGGGCCAAACGGGAGACCGAGGCCGGGTCGGGGCTAGGAAGGAAGGTAGGGGCACCTGGTACAGGTGGACCCAAGGTCAGCCTCCTCCTATCCATCTGCGGAGACGCACGGGAGCGACATTAAAGTTAGTCTGTTGCCACGCCGAGTCCCGGACCAGGGGTTACCTCGGCTCCCCAAATCCTGCAGAAACCCTCCCCATCCCCCTAGGGGCCCGGGCCAGGCCGCCCGAGGGAGGGGCTGTCCACCGGCAGGAAGATGCAAGCGGAACTGATGCCTCCCCGGCCGGCAAGCGGGCAACCCCCGGCCCCGCTACTGCAGGGGCCCGCGCTTGCCCTACACTACCCCGAGTCCGCCGCGGCGGGAGTGGAAGCCGGATCCCGCTCTTTCGTTTTCATTTCCCGGAAGGATAGCGATTACCGGAGCTCCCTGCCGCGCCTGCTCGCTAGCTGACCCGAGTGCACACCCCTCGGCGCTTCTCAAAAGCGATTCCGGTCCACGCGTCCCTCTCGGTTTTCCCGGCCAAGTTAAGTGGTTGAGGGAGGAGGGCCCGGGAGCGCGGCCCAGGGCTCTGTGCAGCCGCAGCCAGGCGAGCGCTCACAACGGAAGGCTGGGTGGCTTCCTCACCTCCACCTGTAATGCAGGTAAGAGCTTGGTGGCTGAACCACGCAGGGGCGCGCGGAGTCACCTGCCCCTTCTCCCCCCATTCTTTCTCCATCGCCTAAATTTTCATATCCACTTTATCAGACCTTTTCCCTGGCTTTAAAGCGCTCGGCTGCTAACCGAAAGACTGGCGGTTGGAACCCACCAGCTGCTCTGCGGGAGGAATATATGGTAGTTGGCTTCCGTAAAGATTACAGCCTTGGAGACTCTATGGGGGCAGTTCTACTATGTCCTGTAGGGTCGCTATGAGTCGGAACCGACTGGACGGCAGTGGGTTTGGTTTTTGGATTTTCCTTGGCTGGAATTTCACACGAACACATTCCCAAATCTCAGCGTCTATCTCTCCCACCCCTATTCCACCTCCAGACATTGGTGCCCCCTACTCCCTCTCGGAGACCCAAGGCTTCTCCATACATAGCGCCTCCAGACTTTTTGCAGTCTCCTTACCTCCTGGCCACTCCTAACCAACCATAGGTGAGGTCCCTGGTAGTTCCTGCACAAGCCAGGTCCTTCCATCTGGCAAACCGCATTAGAACCCCTTTCCATTCCCTAGGGAGCCTCAGTACTGCCCCAAAGACCCCTTCCCACCTCTAAGGCCTTTCTCCACTACCCTTTCCGGAAGATCCACACCCATTTTATGAGACGCCTCCCTGTCCTTCATGCTGAAACCCAGAACTCTGACCCTCAGCTCCCTGGCTGGCATTTCCCAGGTAGTTACAACCCCGGAATTCCCCATTTGTCTTGCTTGGAAGAGGGTGGAGGAGTAGATGAGGAGTTGCCTGCAAGTCGTAGGCCAAGGATGGGCCAGTCTAGAGCCCCTTCTCCAGCAGGAGCCAGAGATACAGCGCCCCCCACCCCCAACGCTGGGTGTAGCTCCTTAGGTTTAATTACCTTAGGTTCAGCAACTTGCGGGGAGGGGAGGTTAGGCAGAAATGAAGTGGGAACTACCCAAAAAGATGTTGCATCTTTTTTTTTGGCCACCAAGGCTTCTGGAGTTTGCTTTACTGTCTCCAGGTCCAGAATGTTTGGCTGCAGATTTCCCTCCTCAGACACTGAGAGATGTAAAGCTCTCGAAGATCCCAGAGTGAACAAAAGACTCTTGCTGGAACTGGGTTCATTTTTCCGCTTCACAGTGTGGCAGCCTGTGGCTGGCCTTGAGCCCCAAGGAGCCTCCTGTTCCTATAAGATCTGTCATTTTTCTCTTCTCCTCATCTTGATGGATGAACCAAATCAGCTCTGTGGGCGATGCTGATTGTAAAATTATAAAGATACAGACTTCATTTGGTGGGGGACCATGGGGTTCAGAAATTTATCTGAGAATCTCTTTTTTTTAATTATTGTAATATATGCACATAACACAACATTTGCCAATTCAACATTTTTCAGGTGTATAATTTAGTGATATCAATTACGTTAATCATTGAGCAACCATCACCCATAATCATTGCCAAATTTCCCATCATCATCTTTTCCTTTTTTGAAAACAGCATGTATTTGTTTGCTTGTTTATTTATTTCTGATTTAAGGTTTTTTTCCTGGCCCCTCGGGTCATCTTGTGTCCTCTCACAAGGACAGGTTCCAGTAAGTATTCAAGCTTATGAGTCAAGTCTTAGCAAGTGATCCTTCTGCTGGGGTTAGGCATATGCATGATAAAGCTTGAACTGGAAGGATGCAATTCCACTCAACCTTTATCAAATATCCATCGCGTACGAGATGTTGATGGTAGCAAGATGAAGACACATGTGGTTCCTACTTTTAAGGCAGACACAATCTACTGGCAGCGATGAATGCTCTTTTCTTTCAAAAATAATCCTTACACATTTTAAAGGTGACTGAGCCTTTCCCGGAGCTCTAGTGGTGCAGTAGTTAAGCTGCTAACCCAAAGGTCGGTGGCTGCTCTGCGGGAGAAGGATGTAGCAGTATGCTTCTGTAATGATTTACAGCCTTGGAAACCCTATGGGGCAGTTCTACTCTGTCGTATAGGGTTGCTATGAGTTGGAATGGATGGTAATGGGGGTTGGGTTGAGCCATTACCATGGTGCTCTTCTTTGATTGCTCTGGTGTTTCCTCTCTAGGAGGCAAGATCGACTGGTTCTCCTGTAAGCTCAGCAGTAGACATGCCACCCCCGGCCACCCAGGCCCAAGCCAGATGTGAAGCTCAAGTGCATCTGCTGGTTGAGGGGAGGATGTGTAAACTGCCTGGAAGACTACGTGAGTAGAGAGGACAACGGTCGATTTTTTACAGCATATTAATGTGAGGCATAAACTCTTCTTATCTAAGGAATTACTTTCCCTCCAGTTTGCAATTTCCTTGCTGGGTTTTCTTTAACTTTTCCTTGGCAAGGAAGTCAGAGAAGGTAAATGTGAATTCTTGCTGTGAAGAACTCATAGAGCTGACATGGCCAAGCATGTGGGGCGGGTGGTCTCCTCATTGGTAAGGTGAGGGTTGGGATTGGATGAGCTATTGGGTGCCTTCCAGCCTGAAGACCAAGAGTTGAGGACATTAGCCAGAAGGGATTGAACAGCGAATAGTTGTATATATGTATAGCCCTCTTTAAAATAATTATATTTAATTGAAAAATTATATTTA